TGATTTTCTAAAAATGGTTGACTCTGAGTCAACTTACAGTCGATAGTTAAAGTTGGCAAAAACCAACCTAGAAATAGACGGCTTAATGTCGACTTTAATAGTCGGCTTTAACTTGACTGAAAAAAGTCGACTATTAGCCGGCAAACAGTCATTTGTGCTGTGTGTAACAAACTCACGTTTAATAATTACGTTTTAATATAATACTTTTTAATATAATAGAGAAACTCCTCTTTTTGAACCTGAATCTTAGTATAAAAATAGATATATTCAATAAGATATATTTCATATTTTCTGTCCTGAAACAGATCAGTCAAATTTACTCGGTGTCCGGCTCATGTTGGCAATGCGGGAAACAAAACTGCTGAATTTGCAACTAAACAAGCCTCTCTATCCGGAGTTTTTGAAGGTAACAAGATATCTTTCTCTGAGGCTTTATTGAATCTCGCTCATGAATACGATTTTCTAGACTCGGTATTTCTTGACTCTATGGGTACATGTCCAAACAATTAATTTGTAAAAAATTTTTTAAAATGTTTATATCTTTCTACTAAATAAATTCAAACTGAAAGAGCATATATTGGTCTTTTGACTTAATTAATTACTGAATATGAAATGGTCTAATGGAAATTTAAATGTCAAACTATAATTGAGTCTCTATTTTGCAAATATGGTTATCATTTACCTACAAGATATAAATCATTTTCTTTTTTTGGAGTTGCCCTCTTTTGATTAAGGCGATGCTGGAAGGTCTGAAAAATTTGTGCGAGGTCGATAAAACAGTCTGTTCAATTTGGTATCTCTAAATGAACTTCTTCTGAACAATATCTTCTGTCTCACTCAAACATGTACATTGTCCTTATCTAATTTATTGAAGTGCCTTCTCTTGCAAAATTCGGCACTTACTGCTAGACGCAATTTTTGCTGTTTTTACATTTAGTATATCTTAGCTTAGCGTACGAATTACCATAAATTGGAGTCGTAACGATATCTTTTTTTCTTTCAATCATAGCTCAAAAGGTCTTGTATTATTCTTTCCTGTAATCCGAAGGAGGCGAGCTATAATATTTATTTTGTACATATGAGTTACAGAACTTTTATATCAATAAAATGTTTACATCAAGTGACAGCTTATGACTCGAAAAAAAAGTAATTTTTTAATTTTTCGTCGTTTTTACTATAAATTTGTAGCTCGCTCCCTTACATTTTATGTCTATTTCAATCCTAGAAAAGCGATTTCAATTCCGTTCAGTAATTTCAAAGTTATCGTTACGACTGCAATGTGTCGGTAATTACGACCTTCCAGCATCGCCTTAATCACAGAAATTATGTTTATTTTGCTGCGTGGATTAATTAAGCTACATTAAGTTTAATTAAACTACATCCTCTTTTATTTGTACCTTATAGAGAACTTAAGAATTATTAACTCGAGAATTATTAAATTATTTCCATAATTCTTAGATTTTTTAAACTAGCACGAAGAATCATTAGCTACATATTTATAATTCTCTATCGAGCTTTGGCATATGAGACTCCTTTTCTTAATAGGTCTCACTAGATCTGTACTGCTATATGCCTGGACTCTTTTCATCAATTGAGACACACTTCTGGACTTCGGATCCCTTTTGACCCCAGGAAACACCAAAAGAACCATAGTATTGTGATTTATACGAATCAGAAATCTAAAGGCAGCAACAGCAGCAGCAGCAGCAAAAGAAGAAGAAGAAAAAGAAGAAGAAGAAATGCTTGTACGGAGAGTGCTCAGTCAATGTGTACGCACTTGCGTTATTAAAGAATTAGTAATATGTAAAGACGGATGGCGAATCAGGAGTGAGTAGCATCCACGCATTCGCGAATTCGTTGGCTATCGGCACTGACTCTACACGAATGTTAAAAATAAAGAAAAAGAATAAAAGGAATTACTATGTATTTTTAGCACTACTTACACGCTGAGAGGTTATTCACACACACGCACGCACACACAGCAGTTGCGAATCCACAAAGGAATCCTGAAACACACAAATTGTATGGAACACTCCGAAGTTGATGCGCATGGACCCAAATCTCCGAGAATTCAATGTAGTAATTGTAAAAGTAAATTTAAGAAATAGCAAACCATTCAATTTGACTCTTGTTAAGGAATCCAAAAAGAATCACCGCGGCTAAGTTTGATTGCCCGAAAATTCGCAGAGATTAAATTCTTACCTGAAAATATTTACCGAGAATAACTTTTAAGTTCACTCCGATAAATTCACTCTTGCTTTCACAGCACATGAACATCCCAGTAAGGTTATCATAACTTAAAATTGTAAGATGATAACATTACCCAGAGATTAATAAACATACAATTAACCTCCCAATAACATGAAAATGTTCGTCCAAACTCATTCCATTAACATTCCATAAATTTTGCAAGGTACATTGTATTAATATTATACAATATTATATTAATGTGCAAACTAAAAACGATTTTTCATTTTATTGCTAAAAAATTTTTATTAATTAGCATCACGTTCCAGAGATAGAGAAAAAATATATACAACAAAATTATTATTAAAAAAATGTATTTGGAAACTACAAGTTTCAGGATGTTTCTACATATGTATAAGCGGTCACCCATCCAAGCCTTCTCGAGCGTTGCTTAACCTTTATGATTGTTCGCGAACTGCTGCTTTGTGATGATCCATGAATACTGAATGCTACTGGATGTATACCAATAGTATGTCAGTATAATAGATGTTATCAGAAAGATGAAA